TAAATAATTTTAGTTAGTCAATTAATTAAATTTAAATTAATTTTTATTAATTTTTATGTAAATTAATTATAAAATGATATATTTATGGCACTCTTAATTTATATTATAAGGACACAAAATAAAAAAGTTTGATGATTAATTATAAAAAGTATAATAAATTATAATTACACTTTTATTAGTTTTTGTGTTCTACTTCCAGCCAATCCTTATCAGCTTGGGAAATTTTTTTGAATTCCAGATAATTTATAGTTGGCCTTCTCCATTTCACTTCTGAAAAGTGTCTCTTGAAATAATCAACGAAATTGCATATTTCTTAATAGTTTGAAATCAAAATCAATTTTTAAATTTTTTTTTTTTTAAAACTCATTTAAAAATTATAATTTTTTAAAAAGAATTTTAAATTTATGAAAGAAAATTTATTTTTAAAGTAAGTGCTTTTTAAACTTTACCTAACAGCTTTTGAATCTCGTCTAAATCAAAGGGAAAATAGAGGGCTTAGCTTTTATTTTAACCCTATATTTGACTTGAGAGGAATGAAAAAGAGAGGAGGGAAAGGAAGGGAAGGGGAATTATTTCCTTATATTCCCCGTTATTCTTCTCCTTTTCTTTTCCCTCAATTGGATAAATAACCAAATTAAAAGATAAAATAAAAAAATTAAAAATTTCCCCTCCCTCCCTTTCAATTTTTTTTATAACTAAATAAAGATTTTTTTCCCCTCCTCTCCTCTCCCCTCCATTATCCTCAAATTAAACATATTGTAAGTGATTGGATTCAATTCCTTATCTATGTTGTGAGAAAAATTCTAGTTTAAATTTGGAGAAGATTTGTGGGAATGTAAAGTTTGATGTAAAGGGCTAAAGTACCCTTTATAACTAAATAATGAAAAATATTTATTTGTTGGGGAAACAAAAAAAACTAAAAACAAGCCTTCAGATGATAGAATTCTCTCGCTAAACAGAACCATTTAGCAAAATACTTTCAAGGATTACAATGGTTCTTTTTGTCCAGATATGTATATGGGAGGACATATCTTTCTTGACCCAAAGACCTTGCAACCTTGGATTTAATTGAGATAGCCTTAACATGGAGGCATGTCAGCTGGTGGTGGTAACATTTTGGCCTCCGGAGATTCGCCATCTTTAACTACGAACACTGTATCCATACCCCATACCATGTGTCGATCAAAATGGCAATGCATGTACCATACTCCTATTCAAGAAGAAAAAAGAAACAGAAAAACAGAGAAAGAAGTCAATGATAATAACAACCATAACAATTTTGAAAAATTGGAAAATGCTTTAATTAATTCCTGATTTTAGAGGGTGACACCACCAATTAAAGCTCAAACATTTGCACTAATTGAAAGTGTGTAATGGGTTGGAGAACCCCTTGAACAAGCAATAAAACTAATTTGCTGCTTTGCTGTTTAATTTGTTTTCTTCTTTTTTTGCGCCAAATGAAAGAAATTAAGCAATCATAAAATGCAGGAACCATATATCCAAAGAGATCTATGAATTAACAGCTTGTATTACATGTTTCAATAAAACTTTATCTTGAAGATAAAACTTATACGTACCAGGATTGTTAGCCTTGAATCTTACAGCCATCCATCCAATTTTTGGAACATGAATGGTGTTTTGAAGAGGAGGGTCCACCAGATTGTACATTAAAGGATCCTTGTCCTTATCGAAATTTCCCATACCCAATCCCACAACATAAAAATTATATCCATGAAGATGCATCGGATGGTCACTACCGTTTAGCAAGTTTGTCCCCTGGAAAACAAGCTCCACGGTGGAATTGTAATCTAGCATCCTCACTTCCGTCCTTAGTTGCGGATACTCCCACTCCATCGGTAAATAATCGGCAGTGAAGTCAAAATATAATTGAGGAAAATCAGGAAAATTAGTCCCAAACACACCATAAATGCAGCAGTAGTAAGCTTGTAATATATCAATGCTGGGATTGATGAAGCTTATGTTGTTCACACTGGCTAAGAGTCTCCACGCACCATCTACACATAAGGTTTTTTTATATAAGTTAAACAAAACAGTTTTTCTTCTTCTCTTTTTTTATTTCAAATTGTTTAAGAAAAGATAATCCTCTTTTATTCTTTACTCATCACACCCATATATTATATGATTTAAATTCAAAATTTATAGCTTTACTTGGAGAAGAAATTACTACTAAGCAACTTAATAATTTTTTAGTATAACTAAATATATTCTTTTAGGCCTAAACTTTGAGAGCTCACACTTTCATCTTTAATCTTCAAAATTAAGTAATTGGCTCCTTAACCTTTTACTATTTACCCCTATTTTGTTTGAGGGAAGTGAAGGGAGAGGAGTGAAGAGAAATGGAAGGATATTATTTTCCTTCCATTTCCCTCTTCTCCCTTTCCCTTCTCTTGTTTGGTTAGACTAAATTACAAGCATAATTAAAGCAAAACACTGGAAAATCACTAATTTGCTCTCCAATTTTTTGTGAATCAATTAATAGAGAAATTTCTTTCCTTCCCCTTCCCTTCTTTCCTCTCAAACCAAATAAGTGTGGGTGCATGTGCATGGGTGTGTATATATATAAAAAAGAGAGAGTATTAATGGTATTAATTTAACTTGTCCAATTTTCTGGTACAAATCCTCGCCATCCATGGATATTGGACGAATTGTCACCCATAATTTTGTAATTCAAATAGAAAATTATATATGAAAAATTCAAAATTATATACAGATTAAGCATAGGTTTAAAATAATATTTATCATGTAATATTTTTTTGATTGATAAAGAAAAATTTTATTAATAAAGTACAAGGAGTACTCCAATAATATTTATCTTGTAATTAATATTTTTGTATATAATTAATAAAAAATAAGTATACTTCAAAAAGAATACCTGGGCAGGACTGGTTTTTGCATGGAGTGTTCATTGAGAGAGTATAGAACAAATGTGTGTTTATTTTCATTGGCACATCAACTGGATGCTCCTTATCAGCTAAACTCCGAAGACTAGCGGTAAAATTAAGGGTTGCCTCTGTGTCATTATGGCTAGGAAGATGGGGGAACACCGACAGCGAGGATGGAGTGTAGTTTCCATTATATTCTACAATAGCTGTGGTGGTGGAGTTGTTGTAAGCACCTGCCACAGCAATGGAGAACACGCTGGCGCCCATGTAATAATGATTGGGACTTTGGTTGGCTTCTAGAAGGACATCAATGGTCTGGCCTGGGCATATGTAAATGAAGGTTCTCTTGAATGGTTTTAGATAATTACCGTCAGATCCAACCACCGTGATAGTATGGTTGGCAACAGAGAAGAAAAGGCTATCTAGCATGATGGAGTTGACTATCCGAAGGAGATAAGTCAAACCTTTGTTCACCTTGAGTTTAAAAGTTTCTGTAAATATATTAAAAAAAAGAAGTATTAGGTAATAATCAACATTTACCTTTAAATGTAGAGATATATTCTGGACGTGAGATAGTCTCTCTTGAAGGATTTACTTTTACAGTTAAATTTAAAAAAAGAGAACTCAATAGAAATTGAATTAAAGGTTGGAAAACTAAAAGTAATAAATTTTAATTGCTAAATAGATAAATATTGTGAGATATATTGAATTAAAAGGTGTATCAATCATTTTAATGAGAATTTTCACACATATATTGTTTTTCTTTTTTCTTTACCATTTTTCACGGTGTATTATTGGTAACAAAGTTTTCAACTATTTTAAAATTAGGTGAAGACCGTTAGTTCCAATATTTCTGATATTAATCACTGTTTTTTTTTTTTTTCGTATTATATTAGGTGCATTTGCTAATATGTTAGCATCAATCATTATTTTATTTTGAAAACATTGATGTCTTACTAAAAAGTAAAGAGTTTCACCTGGTTTAGAGCAGGAATAAAGATCACCAGGCTGGCCATTGATGAGGTAGGCCTCCGAAGTAAGTCCTAGGCCACCGTAACGTTCAACATCTTGGTATATCTTCATTATATCTTCTTTCCACCACTCTCCTGCATTATCAACAATCCCAAACATTCCAAATCTTTATTTAATCGATGAAATTATTTTGAATTTATATTATTTTTTTAATTACCTAATATGATGGGAATTTCTACATCAGGTTTAGGAAAAGGATAGCTTGTTCCTATCTTGGGATAAATAACCACAGCACCATGGACAGTCGCTCGCAACCATGCGCTATGAGCATGCCACCACAAAGTTCCTTCTTCGGTACTAAAAATGATCTTCTGCCTAAATTTTGCCCCCGGTCGAATCGGACACTGAGTGATGTATTCTGGACCATCAGACCATGGATTTCTTGGCTGTAACACTCCATGCCTGCCAAACTATGCTACCAATTAATATCATGAATAACATTAATCTAACCTCCTTTCAGTTTACAATATTTAAGTAATGATGAAAGGGTTCGAGATAATTAATACCAATGAAGGGTGATGTTATATTTTCCTCTGTTGTAAACATCTACAACGATGGTGTCTCCTTTATTAACATATAAAGTAGGACCCGGAAATTGTCCATTTACGGTAAGTATGTTCTTCGTGCTGCATAGTCTCGTATATGGAACTTCCTTCACCTACAGAAACAAATTTATGATAAATTCAATTGCATATTGTTGTTTTCTATTAAAAAAAATCGGAATATGTACTTACAACAAACTTGTAATGTGGACACGCTTGGCAATGGTAGAAAAAGAAAAAGAGTAGGAAGCCTAAGAGTTTGGAAGTAGAGGTTTCCATAGTGGGTGGTAATAAGTTGGGATATAAATGAATAAATCAAAATGGAATAGAGTTATAAACAGAGGTGAATGAGGCATATAATTGGAGAATTAGCTGGTTAATTATATCAAAAAAAAAAAAAGGCAGTGGAAAAAGATATCTAATTTGCAAGTTAAGAGATCTTCGAGATGCTTTGTTTCTTTGACTCTGATCTGTGGAAAGGAGGAAGAAGACATTGGTCAATCTTCATGCTGTGTTAAAAAGTTTAAAGGTTATGGAATGATTGATGGAAACTACCTTTCACTCTCAATAACTCAGTTAAAGAATTATGTGAAAGCTCATTGTGCAGGAATTTCTAGTGTGGTCGAAGGCAAAGAAAATTATATGGGGGATTGGGGGTGACAGAGAAATAAATAAGACCTAGACAGAGGATGTACCTACCAAAAATGTTGTCACGTTTATTCACCATATTCGTGTTAAGAACTCCCACCTAATAATTTCCATGGAAATTCCTTCCCTTCGCACCACGATCTAAACCTACCACTTTATCATGCTCAACCATGAAAAAATTGAAAAAGAATTTCTCAATTATGCATGTCACTTTCAGTCGTTCGCTCTCTTTTTCATTTCTTATAAACACGTGGATTATACAATTGGTGCGTTCTAAAACATTGATTTGGGATCAATTTTAAGAATCCAAACATTTACAACTTAAATAGCATATTAATCTAAGTTTATATATAAAAAAAAAAATTTCAACGTCTGCTATTTTTTGTCTTTGAACTATTTTATTCCAAAATTTTGAGTTATAACTTTAAGATTGGATTCATTGAAAAGCACATGTTATTTTGTGAGCCAATTTTAGAGTTTAAGTCTTGGAGTTAACACTAAAGAAAATTAATTATTTTCTTAAATGAATTAGGTTGATGTGAAAGTTGAGCTCTTAAGATTGCCTAACGAGATATTTAGTCTCACGTTATACAAAAGTTAGTCCAAAAACACCCTTCTTGTAAATATCAAAAGATAATTAAGGGCTCAGGGAGATATTTAGTCACGAATTACACATAAATTAGCATGAAAAAGAGATCAAGAAAAGACTCGTACCGTTTAAAAGAATAGCAAGTTGCTTGGTAGAATGGACAATACTGAGGATAGAATGATGGAGTTATTTCAAATTAGGGCATTGATGGAGTTAACAAGGATGCCCATCAATTAAAAGAAAAAAGAAAAAAAAAAAAAACAACGGTTATGTTGGCTCTCATGTAATTCAATTTTGGGATGTACTTTCCTTGGCACAACGTTTTACTGTGGCTTAATAAAATATAGACTGTATGGGTGATTGGGTTAAGTGCAAGTAATACTTCCACAAAAATCATGTTGCAACGTGGTTGGCCACCAACCCAACCATGTGTTGGAGTGGCTGAGCGCGTTGTTGATTTGGGAGTTGGTGCGTGTCTTTTTCATTTCCTGCAGTTTTTGATCTTGTGTTTAAAATCTTAATTTGATGCATAAAACTCAGGGATGATGGGCAAAGTTGTGGCTTCGGTTATTCTTTTGTTGACTGGAGGGTGCCTTGATTTTTGTGTAATTTTTCTGTTAAACCATGTATCATGTGATGAGAAATTAACCTATGCTTTTCTACTCTTACCATTGAAATTGATTGATTCGTCCTTTTGTGTCATCTAACTTGTCTGTTTCTAAGAGGTACACCGTACACCTTGTATTGTTCGTCTTGGCGGATTCTTCTCTAATGTCATCTTAATTTAGTTGAAGACTGTGGATTAAGAAAGGAATTTTGAGTACCGTATCCAATGGTCCTTAGACTATTGTCGTTACCCACAAAACCTTTTTTTTTGGATAAATTAAATTTTTTTTATATAAAAGATACTATTACAAAAAAGCCTATCTTTCAACGTATTTTGCACTGAAAAATACTTAAAATGTGCTGAAAATTTTCCAGCATTCTGCACTAGAAAATATTGATGGAGAAAAAAGTGTGGAAAATAATTATTTTTCAAGGTAAAAAATGCGTTGGAAAAATTTTACTAATAAAGCGCTGAAAAAATATGGATAATGGCAACCCGTTTTAAGTTGCCGTTACCACTTATTTTCCAGTGTTGGAAAATAGTTCTTACCTTAAATGGACATATATCACTATTTTCCAGTATTGAGCGTTGGAAAATAATGTCCAGAAAATTAAAAAAAATTATTTTTACATAACTATTATTATACACAATTTGTAAATATTTATAAATACAAAATAGTATTTAAGATGAATAAATTTACCATAAAACAGTATTATATATATTACTCAAGATTGTATATACAAAAGTCTAAAACATACACTAAATAAACATACAACACATATAATAATTAAAATTAAAGAAATTAAATAGATAAAATGTTAATGATAAAACACTACTTTATAATATATTAAAATTAATTATACATAAACAATTATATTTAATATATTTATTTTATAAATACAATCTTATATAAAACATTACATAACACATATAATTTAATAAATATTGACAAAAATAAATGAAATTAAATACATAAATATACCTCAACTTTATGTAATTCATAAAAACACCTGAAATATATAAAAAATTAATTAGTAATATATATATGAGTTAATATAAAGAAAATATAAGTAAAATTGAAAATTATACTACTAAAAAATTGAAATGAATAGTACCTCTTATTTCAAGTAACATATTAAAGGAAGAGGAATGGAAAGAGTAAAAGAAAAGCAAAAAGGAAAGTAGAAGAAATGAAGATGAAATGGAAAAGGAGAAGGAAGAGGAAATGGAGAGAAGAGGAAAGGGATGATTAAGATGAGAAAGTGAAATATATGAGTGGGGTAAAGGAAGAGAGGAAAAAAAAGAAAGTGAATTCGGATAAAGGATGAGAAAAATGAAAGAGAAGAAGAAGAAGATGGCAGAAAATGCTAAGGGAAGGTTTATATAGATAAGTATTATTTTGCGTTGGAAAATAATGTGGGTGGGATTTTGAAATTTTTACAAGGAAAAAATGGCACTTGAATGTTGGATTTTAAATTTTAGATAAACTCATTTTCCAGTGCATCACACTAGAAAATAATGTGGGCAGAATTTTGAAAATTTTATAAGGAAAAAATGACGCTTGAACGTTAAATTTTAAATTTTAGATAAACTTATTTTCCAGCACATTCTGTTGGAAAATAACCTGACCAAATACATAGGCCCATTTTTCAGTGCAGTGCGCTGGAAAAATAATTTGAACCAAATGGGCACTACTATTTTCCAGCGCACTGCAGTGGAAAATAACCTGAACCAATCTAAACCAAATGGATACTACTATTTTTTAGCGCACTACACTAGAAAATAATATGCACCAAATGGACACTACTATTTTCCAGTGCACTGCACTGGAAAATAAGCTGAACCAAATACAGAAGTGCATTTTCCAGCGCAAGGCACTAAAAAATAAATTGCACCCATTTCTACTGTTTAACTTTGATGATTCTAAACATTTTTCAGTGCGTTGTGTTGGAAAAAAGACATGAAATTTTTTTTTTTTTTTTTTTGAAAATTTTTCTTGTCAACAGTAACATTAAAAACATTATTTTCCAACGTAGTGCCCTGGAAAATAAGAAGGTGCCAAACCAAATTATGGCACTAAATTATTTTCTAGTGTAGTGCGCTGGAAAATGAGTTTCACTTGAAAATTATTAATGGATTTTAGATATTTGATACAGATTTTTAATTTCCAACGCTTGGCGCTGGGAAATAATATACTATTTTCCAGTGTAAATTGTGCTGGAAAATAGTTGGTTGAAAAAAAGTCAAATTTTCAGTAGTGAGAAGAAATATAGACAAACATATATATATATATATGCATATATGCTAGTCTCAGTGCTTTAACTTGAGAGAGAAAATGAGAGAGAGAAAGTGCTAGGGTGGCAAGGTTTCTAGTAGCCAGGGACTGTGGCAATGGGTTTAGGCGATGGCTTCCAGGATACAACAAGCAGTTTCTTGGGCAGGCAACTACATATTTTTTCTATGACTTTCTGGCTGATCATTCAACAAAGGATTTGTGGTATTGTTTCAATCATTTGTGAAGGTGGCAAATGTGTATATTCCAGCAAGGAGAGATCAAAGAGGGCATTGGTTTGGTTTTGTTCGTATGTCAAAGGTCTTAGATGTTAAGGATATGGAAAGGAAATTGAACCAAATTAGGCTTGACTACTATCATCTCAAGGTGAAATTGGTAGTGAACATGAAAAAAGGGAGGAAGGTGACAACGATAAGACAGAACAAGTAGTTAGAGAAACAATGGGTTGGGATAGTAAGGTGAATCTAGGGGTGACTTATGCATAGGTTGTTGTTGGCAATATTGTAGCAAATGAGGAAGGGAAATCCTCGAGTAATGGATTCAGGTAGGTTGTGGTAAAGAAGGGGATGGAGGTTATAGAGGATGTGATTGCAAAGGAGGGTATAAGGTTGAAGAAGTTGGAAGTGGTGCCGGAGACAATACCAAAAATGATTATTATGCCATTGACCCCAGAAGGTATGGTTGAGGAAAGGTTATTCTCGAAAACTGATCTTCTCTTAAAATTTACTCCTAAACATAATGAAGTGGCATGGTTAAAATGGAGTATGGTGGCTGTGGTTTGATCTTTAGATATGGTGAAGAAAATCCAAAATGGGCTGGATGTTGATTGATTAATGGTGAACATTGCTTTGCTTGGTGGTAGATAGGTTTTATTAGTGGATAATTTGGAAAGATGCCTTGAGGAGTTTATCAACTGTAATAGGGAATTGGTGGAGTCTTGGTTTGAATGCATACATCCAAGTCCTTTAACTACAATGTCTTCATTGAATAGAATGGCATGGCTTCGATTTACTGGTGTTCCTTTAAAGGCATGGAGCGAGAGATGCTTTGCAGAGTTAGGTGGCTTAATCGGAGAGGTGATACGTGTTGATGAGGATACGAAGAGTAAATCATTTTTGTGTGAAGGTAGGGTCTTGATTTTGAGTGATGAAAAGAGTAAGATCTGAAACACAATTACTTGAATGGTGGATGGCTAGGCTTTTCTGATAGTAGTGTCAAAGGAGGAGTGGTGAAGGGATCCAAATTGGTGGTTGGTTGGTGAACGATGGAATCTGGCAATATTTGAATTTAGCTCTGAATATTCAGTGATGGTGATAGTGAAGCAAGTTTTAATGCAAACATATTTTTGGATGATGATGAAGCCATTTTGACCGAAGACTGTGCGGTAACGGAATATGATTCAAATTTATTGTTAAGAAGGCAAGCAATTTCAATGGAAAGAGATTTAGTTGAAAATTTTGAATCAAAGGAGCTAGAAAAGTTTAGGTTGGGTAGGGTAGAGTTAGTTGGGCCAGAGGTTTTTGTGGATGAGGAGTAATAGGCTAAAAGTGGGTTTAATAGTGGGCTTAAGGTAGCATATAGGCAGCTACAGTAGCCGGTGTTGGGAGAGAAAAAATGCAAAAGTTTGGGGGCAATTTATGTAAGGGATGATGGAATGGAGGAATCGAGGGAAATGGATGCTATGTGGGTAATGGCGGCATAAGTCTTTGAAATGCCCCTTAACTCACTAACTTTGAAGGAGTTTACCCCTGAATTTATAAGTGCAGGATTTATAATCTTGAACTTAGAAGAGTAAGGATTTATAATCGTAAACTTAAAGTGTAAGGATCTATAACCTCAAGTTAATGGAAGATGTTAAATCTCAGTTAAAAGAAAAACTTAGTAGTTAGTCCTTAAAGAATACAAAAGCGATAAGTACAGTTCCAATAAATTCTAATAGCAGATATAGCCTCATATACAAGGACTATAATAAACATTTGCAACCAAATTGAGCAAGTGGTTCATTTCGAAGAAGAAATTCTAGCTGAAATCAAAGAAAACCTTTTAATTGAGTTAAGGCAAAGAATCGAAGAAAAAGAAAGAATAAACTCAATAATACAACTATATAATAGATAAATTAGATTTAAAGAACAGAGAATTAAAAAATTAAGAGAAGTTATTGGAATACTAAAATCAACATGAATAAGGAACAAATAGATTGGATTAACATGTATCAACTTAATACATTAGGTAGAAACATAATCCATACAGAAGATATAATTATCACTGATAAAATTCTTGAGATGAAAACTATCAATGAAAATACTCTAAGAAAAATTAGAGAAATGGGAAAATCCCTTTCTCCAGAATTTGATTCTATTAAAGAAAAAATAAATGAAGTAAAAAATTCTAGAGATCTAAAAGAAATAAAAGAAGAAATACAATCTATCAAAGATTCAAAAACTTTGATATCTCGAGTTAAAGATATAGAACTTAAAGTAGAAGAAATTCGTAAGATATTGAAAGCGATTGTTGAAAAATTTGCAATAAAAGCTTAGAGATGTATAATAGAATAGTCTCACACCTAGAAAGTGATATAGATAAAATTTTTTATAAGATCCAGACATAACTCAAGGATTTTCAAGATACTATAATATCAGTCTGTAGTAGGCGTAATATTATAGATAGAAACGAAGGATTTAAAATAATTCTTAAGATTTTCACTAAAAAGCCTAAATCAAAAGGAATAACACTTTTTATGTTAAAGATCCAAGAAGAAAAATTAAAAGAACTTGAACAAAAGTTTTTAGAAGAAGAAAATGTAGAAGAATTAAACAATCTGTGCAAACAGATTACTTTAACTACTAAACAATTAGAAACATGAAAATGAATACTTAAAAAGAAGAAATTGAAGAAGCGAAGAAGAAAAAGATGAAACACATCCTAATATAACCCCAACAGAATTTCCAATGCAACCTGGTATAGAACCTAGCATAAGCCAAAGCTATAAAAGGAATAAGAATTTAACACATGAAGTAATCTATGATAAAAAGAGTAGAATATTTGGGAATCAATCTAACATTGAGACTTCAGTTAGAGTCAAAGAACAAATAATTAGTACTAATGGTATCTAGTTAGATCTAGATTGCGTTACCAACCTAGAAAAAGTCATTAGTGATTGGGTTCAAGCTACTTGGATAGCCATAGCAAACAAAAACTAGAATGCCTTATAAGTAGTCAGATTTATTGAAATCACCTTTAAAGGAATAGTTCACGACTAGTTTGCCAATCTAAAAGAAGATGAAAGAAACACTATCATAAGTGGAAATCCTACTTCTGAAGACATTAATGAAAATGAAGCAATTCAAGATGTAATAAATAATTTGAATATATCAGCCATAAGGAGAGAATTTTTAGGTGAAAATTGGGAAGAAAATCAAGAAAAAGAAGAGGCTAAAATTGGAAGAATAGCAGTATGGAATTTATAAAATTAAGAACTATGTAATCTTTGTGAATTAGATCAATACATTTGCCTATTCTAGAAATACTGCTATAAGGCTTCAAATCATGGAATGACTAAAGGCCTACTAGAATTGTTCTTTGGAAAAATTTCTAATCCTTGGGGAATAAAATTGGCATAAGCCTATAGAATATATGTAGAGATAAGAAAGATCCTTTAGGACTAAGGATCTGGTTCGCTAAAACCAAAATTAATGAATGGTGCATAGAAACCTATAGTCAAAACAAACTGAGAAAAAGTATGAAGAAAGGACTCTATTGCCCTAAGAATAGTGATCCAATCAAATTAGGATGTAGTTACACCAACTACAACAAGAGAAACAAAAAATTTAGAATTAAAAGAAGTAATAAACAAAGATTTAATAAAAACAAATTCTCTAGAAAAAAAAAAGAAGAGGTATTAAAAGAAGACCAAAACTCTAAGAAAATATAAAAAGAATCCTAAAAAATACACATGCTGGTTGTGTAAAGAGGAAGGACATTATGCAAATGAATGCCATAAAAGATACAAAAGAGAAAGTACAAAAAACCTAAAGATTTATGAAAAAGAATTAAATGAAATAGATACTAGCTTTATAAATAGTGAAGAAAGTATATATGAAATCGAAAGTTTATACACTTCCAGTAGTGATGAATTCGAATATTGAAGAAAGAGAAGCTTATTTTGAAGAATATGAAGGACATGGAGAATATAGTCAAATAATTGTATTCGATAAAAATAAATATAAAAGAATTAGACAAAAAGGAATGGACCTTGCTTTAGAAAAGGGATTCAAGTCCAATTCCTTTATAAATAATCCTTTTAAGAGCAAAGATATAGTTTATTATGGAATATCCATGAAAGAATATAGTATCCCTATAAGAAATACAATAGGAATAATAAATATACCTTTAATTATTAAGGCAGAAATAGAAAGCAAATTATCAAAAATCAAAGAGACCGATAGATCCAAGATAGGTTTCATCCACATAGGCGGAATATAAATACTTATTAAAGCTCATTTTAGAGAAGGGATATACACCCCTATAAAATTAGCTTTAATAGATAATAGAATCAGTGATAGAAAGGATGCCATCTTTGGATTAGTGCAAGGTAACCTTAGTTACCAAAAACGTATGTTTATAATATATCCAAAATATGTTGTAAACATTAAAGAAAACAATCTTCAGGTTATCTTAAGAATTTTTCTTTCATTTCTTTTTCTTTGTCAGCCTTCTTGAAGTTCTTCAAAGTATTTGCGGTTAAAGCATGATTCTTGGTTTTTATTATCTATTTGGGGTTTTGAGGTTGGATATTGTGTGCTGGTGGTGAAACTTCTTCTTCTTCTTCTTCTTGTTTTTTTTTTTTTTTTGGGTATGCTATTTAATTTTAGATTTCAGTAGATGGCTTTTGTGTCTTGGTAAGTGGGTTTTTTTTTTTTTTAATGGGAATTTAAATCCTTTGAGTGTGTGCTTTAGAACGTAGATCGCGGCATGTTTGGTAAGGTTAGGTTGGAACTGGTTATTTGTTTGCTATAGTTTACATTTAGGGATCTATCCTTACTTTATAATCTACTTGGATTTTGGTTTTAAGTTATGATTTTATATATAGATGGAATTTTTGTGGATTGTTTTATGTTGTGTGGTACAAGTTGTGGTTTTGTAA